GGGGTGGGGGTGGGGAGGAGGGTGGGCGGTGGGAAAGGCCCTGGGGCCGTGGGCAGTGGGCGACCTGGCATAGGCCCGCTGAGCTCCTCCGCCCCAGACCTGCTGGAACTGATGTTGCTGCAGAACGCGCAGATGCACCAGCTGCTGCTGAGTCGCCTGGTGGCAGCAGCGCTCCACCCAGGGCCGGCTCCGCCCCACCCCCACCCGCAGGTGCGTGAGCGGGAGGTGGGCCAACAGGGCCGTTCGCCTGGCCTGCGAGTCCAAGGGTGGGGATCCATCTAGGGGTGGATCCTTGAGAAAAAGAATCAGGCAACAGTGCAGTGGACCTGGCTGGGCCCCTGTGGCATCCCTTATGTGCCAGACTCCCATGCCAGAAGCCTCCATCTGGTGGGGATCCCCAAATCCGGACCACCCAGGTCTTGTTTTCAAGGTCTCCCTGCAGGGCATCCACCACAAGAATACAGGCCCGGGAGGACAGGCACCACTGTACCCTGGGTCTGCAGGGGGCCTGATACTTATTAGGGGCTCAAGTGATATTTGTTGAACAAGTGAAAGAATAAACGAATGACCGTGAAGACAAGGCAGCTCTGGCGGTGGCTGTCACAGGGAGAGGTACAAGGCCTGAGTGCACACCTGGTTGGGGAAAGGCTCCTTGGAGGAGCAGGTTACCTTAGAACGCGCCCTTGAAAGCCAGGTAGTCTTTTGACGCTTGGAGGAGGCCAGGTTGTGTCCAGCGTCCAGGCTGGCGGGACCTGCTGCTGTTCCTCACGCCCCGTCCCTCAGGGGGTCCCCGGGATGAATACCCCACCTCCCTGATGAGGCACAGGTGGGGCCAGGGTTGGGGGCAAAGCCAGGGGCGGGTCACCGGACTGCTGACCCAGCTCTGCAGTCATACCTGGAAGCTTCCAGGCTCTGTTCAGCCACTTATTAGCTGGGTGACCTTAAATAAGTTATTCAGCCTCTTTGAGCCTCAGTTTTCCCTCCTGAAAAATAAGAAATAAATGTCTCCAAGGTGGCTTGCTTGCATGTAGACAATGCTCCATTTTATGAGAAATTAGAGGAACAGAGGAGTGGGGGTAGGGAGAGCTGGATCTGGTATCATCATCTCTCCTCCCCCGTTCCCACAATCCCCAGGTCTACCTGGAGGGTCAACAAGAGGAATATGAGGAGGAGGAGGAGAAGGAAGTCCAGGAGGAAGGGCCTTTGGTGTTCCACCACCACTACCTCCCCTGCCCGATGCCCAGTCTGGGTCCCCTGCTACCCTGGCCAGTCCCTTTTCTTTCCCCGCCCCCACATCAGCCTTACTTGCAGGACACGTCCAGGATTCAGCACCACCCTCCTGCCTCTGGGAGAAGGGGGTCGTAAGTGAGGCTTGGGGATCTGAGCGTTGCCAGGGCCCTGCTCTGGGGCTGGGCTGGAAGAGCTCACCAGGGGCTGAGGGTGGGGTGGAGATACGTGGGGGTGAGTATCTGATGGGGGGGGAATGTCTTTCTTTTCTCCATCTCAGGAGAGCCATCCCCCCGCCCCCACCCCCCAGTGCCACAGGGACTGTGGGTGCGGATGTACCGCCGGCTTCAGGTAGGGGCAGAGTGGGTGGGCAGTGGGGCCCAAGCCCAGGCCGGGGATGGATCAGGAGGCCAGGAGGGCCGTTTGGGGGACAGGGAGCCCCTACCACCACTACTGTAGGCAACTGGCCTGTCCCTTTCCCTTTTCTTCCTTGGGGTCCAGTGAGGCAGGAAGGGAGCCAAGGCGAAGGTGCTGTTCTCTCCCCAGACTACTATGATGCTGAGAGCCTGCCATGAGGACAGATGCCAGCCCTGGGACCCTGCCAGCTTCACCGCAGGGCTGGAAAGAGCCCTGGAGCCCTTACGTGCCCCTCTAGTGCCTGTGACTCTGCACCCATGCCCAGCAGCCCTTCTCCTCCCTCAGCTGCAGCCAGGCTCTCTCCTGGGTGAATCAATACACTCTTCACCCCATTGAGACCTTGGACTGACCTGATATCTGCCCCGGAGCAAGAGTCCGTCTAAGCATCGTCCAGGGCTGGGAAGCCACAGGGCGTGGCCTGGGACCCAGAGCCCTCCCTCGACCTCCTCCACTCACCCCTCTCTGGGATGGCTAGGGCTGGGGGGGTGTCGATGGCCTAATGATGGAGCAGGTGAGGGGAGGACTGCTTTTGTTGTCCGAGGCTCTCTGAAGGCCCAGAGTGATGGGGGAGAGGCCTGGCTCAAAGGTCCTGGAGCTGAGCCAGTTCCCTTGGGCCCCACCCTCACCCCAGGAAGCTGGTTCTTGTGGCAGAAAGAAGTCAGAGCCCTGTCCCGCTCCCAGTGGGAGTGGCCTGAGGTCCCAGAGGGCCAAGAAGGAAGAGAATGTCTCTCTGCCCCACCCTCCCTCAGGAGAAGTTAGTCACTCAGGGCCCCGTGAGAATGGGTGTCTGGTGCCCGGGCTGGTCAGCAGGCGGGCACCCCAGGGTGTGGGCTGGCTGGCGCTCTAGAAGGCCCCTGTGAATGAGTGGGCGGAGGGAGACTTAGGAGACATTTGGAGAGAGAAGTCTGGGCCTGGTGGGTACCCTTCCCAGCTGCTGAGTTCTATCCCAGGAGAAGACACTGAGGCCCAGGGTTAAGTCCAGGTATTTATATTTAGACTAGAAGAGGAAATGGTCCCAAAGTCCTCTGCTGCTCCTTAGAGTCCTGCAGCCAGGGCTGGACCACAACCCTGAGGAGCCACGCTGACTTCCAGTGGCTGCCGTGGTGGTGACCGTGCCACTCATGTAGGCTGTGCCCAGTAGGCCCGACTCAGGCCCCTTTAAGCACCTTGTACCCTGTAGGCGCCCATCTGCCTCTGGCGCCAATGCTGGCCGAAGACAAAGCACAGGAGGATAGATGTCACAAACAGGAACAGCAGCACGGACACCACTGTGATGATGACGACCATCTGGTTGTCTGGCATGGGCTCTGGGGAGGCAGGAGGGGGCAGCGGTCTTAGAAGTCTTCCGGTCCCAGGCGCTAGGGCCCCAGAGGTGTGCTTGTCGCCCACCCGGCCCTCCCCCATCTCGCAGTCACCCGTGTTGCAGACGTGAGCGGCTAATGGTGTAATACCTAGGGGAAAGGTGGGCCAGGGTCCAGGCTACCAGCCAGCCCTCTGTGAGACTATGAGGGCAGATGTCCCCCAGCACATGGTTGCTGGACACCATGGCCTGGACAGTGGCGTGGTCCAGACCAAGCCCTTCCCTGGCCAGAACTGAGTGAGCTTCTACCAAACTCTGAAGACAGGGAACACCTTGGCCATCAAGGGTCACAGAATGGCAGAGCTCCAGGGGATCTTAGGGCCAAATCTCTAGATGTAGACAGGGGCCATGGCCAGAGAGAGGAGGTTGACTTGGTCAAGGTCACACTGGTCACTAATGGTCAAGCAACTAGTTGGGGTCCAAACTGGGCACGTGGAGAGAGCTTTGGGGAAGACAGCAAGAGGGAACCCCCTGGGATTAAGTGTGGGGTCCCTGGGCGCCTGGCCCCTGAGCTGGCAGAGAACGTGGTGAAGGTTTTTTCTTCCCCTAAGGAACGGGAGATGAATGCTCCCTCCCACCCCCTCCTTCTGGGGACTCTCCCTCACCATAGACCTTGAGCGTCTGGGGCTCTGAGACACCGTGAATGATGTCCCCACCAAGAGACCGCAGGTCCAGGTCTGCCCGGCAGGAGAAGTTGTGGCGGCCGTCTTCCTTGTGAGCTGTGGCATTATGTGTGACTGTGGCCTCTTGGGGGGCAAGTGCCATCGTCCTAAAGGTCTTGTTGTGCATGGCCTCCTTGCCACGGAGCAGGGTGAGAGTGAGGCTCTCAAGAGGTGCCACATTGGGCACCCAGCACTTGATGGTGAAGGATCCCCCCACAGCCACCCGAGTGGGCTTCAGCTTCAGCAGCACTTCCTTTGGAGGGTCTGTGGGGAAGAAAGAGCGAGGGGTTCTGGTCAGAATGAGGGTGCTGTCCCAGCAGGCCCCACCCAGCCAGGCCCAGCCCCTGGCACCGTAGTGTTATCAGGTCCTTGGCTGGATTTGGGAAAGCGGGCTGGGGCCTGGTCTGCCCTAGATTGTAAAGAGAGGAAGAAGGAAACACTTCAGGGTGAAGGACATATTGGGTGGTAGTTTTACCAACACGATATTTTCTGGAATGGTCAAGAATGGAGGTGGTCAGGTGTCTACAAAGAGGAGGTCCAGAAAGTGTACGGCCAACTAGAAATAAAAAATTTGGATCGGTCTCCTCCAGAAATCAAACACAGATTTCCACATTAAACAGCTGGATGATTATATTGGGACTTAGAAGGGAGTGTTCGTTAGATCAGGGCCGCGCGTTGTGGGGTCCTCACTTAAGAGGCAGGGACTGGAGTCAGACCTGCCTTGCTTCTCCAGGATCAGATTCATAGCCGCCTCCATCCCTTATCTATTAAACAGGGCCCTCAGTGGTACCCTGGATTCCCTTGTGAACTAGAATACCTTGCCCCAGTCACCCCAGGATAATAGGCTGGATTTAGGACATCTTTCTATTCACTTGATCCACTGATGTTGGTCATGGGAAAGACCCAAGCCACACTCTTGGTGCCGAGATGTGGAGGGAATCCTGGCCTATGGGCAGGTCTCCATGGCCCACATGCAGGTGTGTGTGTGTGTGTGTGTGTGTGTGTGTGTGTGATGGTCACACATCCCCAGGAATATAAAAGCCCCAGGGGGTGCCTTAACCTTCCCTCCGTGAAGGGCAGGGGCGACTGGAGAGCACGCTGGCCTTTCTTTCGGTGCCCCACTACTCATCATGGGGTGGGGGGTGTCCACTGCTACCGAGCGGGGAGGAGATTGCGGACCCTGCCTGGGAAATGACTTTTAGATTTGTGCAGACCTTGCTTAGATTGTCCTCTGAGCAAGCCCCAAACCTGGGGTTGCCAGCAGGCTCAAGGAGGCCAGTGAAGGGTGTGAGCAGATTCTGAGCCCAAGGTGGGGGGTCCTGTTCCTTGTCACCCCAGGAGCCCAGGGAGGTGGGAACCATATCTAGTGCCCGGGAGCAGTAACAGAGTAGCTCGGCAGACCCGCAGCCGACAACAGGCTCAGCCCGCGGGAAGGAGGGTCCGTGTGGCACTCACAGAACACGCTGACGTTGAGACTCTTGAACTTCTGCTTCCTGGAGCAGGTGAAGTAGCAGTAGATGATTGTGTCCTGGGAGACATTGGAGACCAAGTACTGCTTCCACTGAGTTCCACTGGCCACCAGAGTCTTGGTTAGAGTGGTTTCCAGGCCACTGGTGTCAGGCAGGGCACAGCTGGTACTACAGTTGATCAACGTGGACTCTCCGGGCTCCACCACCAGCTGCTCTGGATACATGTGTACCTCAAACGTCTCACCAGACCCTGGAAGACCAGAAATACGGGGAAGTAAATGTCTCTGCTGCCCTGCACCATGGAACTGCCCACCACGGGCTGTCTGATCAAGGGACAGGTGCCCAGGAAGAACATCCAGAGACGGCCCCTCTGCTACTCTCCCCTTGTTCAGGCCTTATTTATTACCTCACCTCTAGACAGAGGTCTCCCTGCTGCCCCAGCTGTCTCCCTGCCTCTGGTTACTCTTCCTCCAGCCCACCACCTTCAAATTAGTCTTCTCCATCTCCATTCTTCTTACATCTTCCATCACCATGGGGAGGGATCCTGTTTGACCTTCAAAGCCCAGCCCAAATGTCCCCTTCTCCATGAAGGCCTCTCAGAACTGGAGGTGGACTGTGTCCTCTTGGCCCCTGTGGCCATGGGTTTAACCCTTTCTCCTTTCTTTTCTTCTGCAAATGCTTTTTGAATAGCTGTTCTGTGCCAGGTGCCATTCTAGGCTCTGGTGACACGGCAGCGACCAAAGCAGAACAAACCCTGCCCTTGCAGAGCTCACATTATAGTGAAGGAGACAGATGATAATCAGCAAGTGAAATAGCCAGCCTGCTGGGTGGTGACAAGTGCCCAGGAAAGGAGAGAGGGGGTGAGTGGAGCCGTCATTTTAATAGCACAGGCCTCACCAAGACATCCAGCAAAGACCTGGAGGGGGTGGGGGTGAGCCCTACAGCTATCTGGGGAGGGGGAGTGTTTCCAGCACTAAGACCCCAAGTTAAGGGCATGCTTGGTACGCTTGAGGAATGGCAAGATCGGGATGGCTGGAGCTCAGCAAGGAGGAAGGCAGGGGGAGAGGAGTTTAGAAAGGTAATTGCAAATGATTTATATTCATGCTGACTCTCCCTTAGATGTTCTGGAGCTTCTGGAAGGCAGGGCCCAGATTTTTCAGGTTTCTCTTAGTGCTTAGCACAATGCCCTGTGTATGGCAGGCATTCGGGAAGTATTTGATGCATAAAGATTGAGTCCCCAGTGCTCACCTCCCACTCAGTGATGGCCAGAAGGTCCTTGGTCCCAACCTGCCCTGTGCTCCCACAGCGCCAGCAGCATGTCCCCACTGAGCCCTCAGCTGGTGGCATATAATGAAATGACAAGAAAGGAGCTTTGCAGGTAGACAGAGCTGGATTCAAATCCTGAGTTTGCCAGGTACCAGCTGTGTGACCCTGGGCAAGGTGCTTTCTCTCTCTTGAACCTGTTTCTTCATCTGTCAAATGGGCTAGTAATCCCCTTCCTGCAGGGTTGTGGTGAAAGCTCAGTGAGATAGTACTTGAAAAGCGCCTGGCAGGTTGTCCAAAACAGAGTGCTCAGCACATGGCAGCATTTTCCTTCAAGTCCCCTGACCCCCCGGAAGATGTGTGGGTTTCCCTTCTGTAGGCCGTAGTCAAAAGGCAATGTCCTC